GTTTATACCCAGTGGGTTTTTTTAAGGGGGCTGCTGCTGTGCCATTGGAGCTAGACAGACACAAGCTAACCTGTCAACAGAGGATCACATGCTCCAGTCCAGGTATTCTCTGCCTTTCCCATGTCTTCTAACAATCCACATTTTTTTTTAATAGAGAGGAAGAATGCTGTCTTTGTATACACAGAGAAGAGTAACGGTTGCAATTTACTCTACCAACACACTTAGAAAATTTTGAAATCAAAGCATTCAATCACCTATATTTTTCTAAGTAAACATAACTCATTAAGCATTAGTTGCACCCCAGCTACAGTGCTTCAACTTTAAATGCCATGCTTTTTGGAGCCAACTGAATATGAGATGGTGAGTCAATATAGGCCTTTCACTTTTGCCCCCACCTAATTTGCTGCAATCCTAAATTCCCCAAGCCATTTCAGGATACTGTGCATTGGTACAATCACAGAGAGAACACTGTCAGCCTGAAAGAGAATGGAGAAACTCCTTTTCCCATAGAGCCCTGAGCACACTCCTGACTTGCTGGACAAAATGAGTTTAAGCAACAGAAAGCAAAATAATTCGCACTACTGGAATATTTCCAAAGCTGAAGTCCTATGCAGTCATGCTTTGGGTAAATTTCACTGAACTGAGTGGGAGTGGGACTTGCTTCCAAGAAAATAGGCAGGGCAATGCTATGCACATGTGCTTTGCTGATGAATCCGACAAAATAAATGTGTAATATATTACCTTATTCCAGGTGAGTGTCCATGTATACCATTCATATTTCTAGACCAACTGCCAAGACTTCCCTGTAAATCTATGACTACCGGTAAATTGCATTATTTACCGAAGACCAAGAAAGCTAGAGAGAGAGAAGGGCTGATGGTGAATGGATCCGAATCCTGTCCTGCAAGAGGGATGAATTCACTGGATGCCTTTTTTAACTGCCACCATTCAATCCAAGGGAAAATCTATTTTGTCACTGTTTCCCCCCCCAAGCCTTCTCTTTCAGAAAAAAAAAGTTCTAACTAGACATCTCCCCTATAAATAAAAGCCGAATGGTGGTGGCACTTATCTAGAACATTCCACACGCTCCAAAATCAGTTCGCTCTCTGATCTGTCATTCAGAGGGTCTCCCTATCCACTGGCTGCTTGCCTGAGTCCTGCCTCCAACATTCTAAACATTTTGCTGTTCCTCTCCCCCCCATAGCCAGTCAGAACACATATGCAGCTGTAGACTTTGTCAGGGTTCAATAACGACACCACACACAACAGATTTCTTGAAGCTGCAGATCAGCTCTGTCTCTCTCTCTGTACCAAGCTCCCTGTTCATCTGACCGGCTGTGTCACAGCAGCATTTTATTAGAATCAAGCAGCTCACACATTGCACAGTGAAATCGTTACTCTTCGAAGCTTCTAACTAGAAATCACACTATGTTCTTCTCACAGCCAGATTATCTTTGAATGTTGCAAAGCTTTTGTGCTCTCAGCAATTCATTGTGTTCTTAGAGTAATTTAGCAGTCTCATGCAGAATCAGAAAAACCTTGTGCCCTGCTTGCCAATCTCCCGTTGCCAATCTCCCTGTGAGAACTTGAGAACTTGTCCTGGGCTTGCCTCACGGGATTTGTTCTCATATTCCACATGCAGCCTCATTGGCCTTTGCCTCGGAACACAGAGGTCGTTTGCATATGCGACTTGATTGGCTTTTGCCTCTAACATTCTAGACAGTTTTCTGTTCTGAGGTAAAATGTGTCCAATCTCCAGGTGAGGGCTGGAGATCACTCAGAATTACAACTGCTTTCCAGATGGCAGAGATCAGTTCCCCTGGAGAAAATGGTGGGCTCTGTATCCTTATATGCTGCTGAGGTGGCCCCCATATGACAGCAAATGTGATGTAGCAGTCAGGGCTTCAGAGCACGGGAGAGGCTGCAGGTGTGTGGGGGGTGGAAAGCTGAAGAGTGAGGGGGAAATAAAGGTAGGTTGATGATTGGCTGAGCAGGAGATAGTATTGCCAACTCCAGGTGGGAAATTCCTGGAGATGTGAGGGATGGAGCCTGGAGAGGGTGAGGTTTCAGGAGGCGTGGGACCTCGGACAGGTACAAAGCCATAGACTCCACCCTCCAAACCAACTAGTCCCTTCTGGGGAACCATCATTGCCAATCTCCAGGTGAGGGCTGGAGATCACTCAAAATTACAACTGTTCTTTAGGTAGCAGAGATCAGCTCCTCTGGAGAAAATGGTGGACTCAGTGTCATTATACCCTGCTGAGGTCGCCACAGCAAATTGACACTGAGTGTCCAAGGCCGAGGCACCCACCTAGAGCCTCTTTCTAGAGGCCATTGTATTTATTTCCACAACGGGCCTTTTTCCTAGTGTAAAATAAAATGCATTAGAGCAATAAAGAGTACCAAAGAGCAACTTCAATGGACTGAGCACGGTCTATATCATCCCCATGGATGTATAAGGTGCTAAGGATAAAGCACCTGGTGTATTGGGAATTCCTCTCAGTCGGATCACTGCTGCAAGAATCCCTCTTCCCCAGACTATGTATGCCCTTTTGAAAACGCACTCCACCAGGCAGTCAAGTGATGCATTTTTTGCCTGCAAACTAAAAGCACTAAAAATCATGGTTTCAAAATAAACTGAAGTGCTTTTGCTTCAGTTATATCGCTAAGCAGAGTTTTCAGTTAAAAGTCACATTTAAATGTCACAGAACTGTTTGTGGATACACCGCAATTAAAAATTTCATCTATTTTAAGTAACCATCATCTTGTATACACTCGTGTGGTTCAGTACAGTGTACACCAAAATAAGTGCCTGGATTGCAGTGACCATCTTCAGAGACAGGTTAAAAAGTAATTCAAATTCACAGATAAAAGAATTATTCTGGGTTTGGTCTTGAGCAGCTCTTTTTCTCTATCAGTTTCAACACAGCTGGGAAAGGTTCATACACCGAGAGGCACTGTCAGTCATGTTAAAAAGGTCTGGGTTTGCTGGACCACTGCTTTGACTCAGCATCATATAAAGCTATGGTCATTCCCTAAATTCTAGTAGCATCAGTGCTATCTACACTTCATACTGGATATTCTTCTATTCCTTTCAAGAGGGGAGGTTCCAGCATTGAAAACAACAATAGATCAGCAAATGCCAGCTGTACATGGTGCTGACTGGTTATCCTCTGGCGATTTGCCAGATCAATTTTTAACCAATAAAGGATTAATGAATGGTTAAATGTTTAAATGCCCATATGGAACTTTTCAAACTAAGTGGGGTGGCCTGACAAAAGGGACAAAGTGAGTCTAAGCCAGCATCTGATTTGCTGTTTACAGGTCATTTTAACCACAAAGCAAGGACAAACCTGGTTCACCCAGCAGCTGAGCCTCATCTCTTTCTTCACATCTGTCTGTTTTCCCCATCAGTCCTGGCCTTTATTGTGGTGTGAAAATATACTACATGATCATGAGGGTTTCCTTGTGTTCTCCTTGTTTCAAGTTTCTACTTGTTTCAAAATGCAGGTGAACATAATTTAGGAAAGCAAGACTAGACTTCTATGTGACTGTAGCACGGGAGCACCAAGATGGTATTTATTGCTCCCGGAGGAATCTTTAGAGCTAGCTAGGCCTTACAACAAGTAGTTCAGTGGGATCAGAAGCATCTGTCCACCTTCCAGTACAAACAGGTCCTTATTTCTCCTCTAAAATGGGGGATAAAATATTGCCAAGAGCCAGCTTATTTATATGCTGAATTCATGTCGGTCATATTTCCATGCATCAGATGTATCTCTAAAAAATTCTTATTTGGCTGCATTTGACACAACGCATTAAAGAAATACCAGGCATTCCAAAGAAAGTCTCTCATCCAGCTTTCTTTACAACCACCACAGAAAAAAAATCCTGAAGCAAAATTTAAATGGCTAAAATACACCATAAATATAGAAATATATCTTCAAAAAGCTGTGTGCTAGAGTTCAAAAAATCCTGCATGAACACGACTCTAGTTTAAAAGGCCAGTAACGGTCAGAACACATTCAGAATCCACAACATTTCCATGTACACAAAACAAAAACAAAAAGTTTTCAAAAGATTTAGTATTATAAATATATCATCTTTGTCACAAAACACCTCATTTGGAAAACAAAAGTTTGACATTTTGGGAATAAAAGTGTGCATTTTCTCATAATACAAATGGTTTCTAAAAGTTCAGACTCCCAGTCTAAGGCACAATGATTTATGTCCCTCCCATGGGGTTATTACTAATTAAGAAACAATGAAAGCAGCAATGATTTCTTTGAAGGACAAACTTGAATCATTATGCAATTAAAAATGAATCAGCTGGAATACCAGTCATTAATTTTGTTGATCTGTTTTCACGTACATGGCAATTACATAAGTACATTACTGCAGTTCCTACAATACTGTTATAACCTCCATCTAGGATTACTGGATCATTCTTTAGGGTTACCAGCCAGGTTCAGATATTAAAAAAGGAAGACCAGCCGTGTCTGAACTTTCATGGCGCAAGAAAAGCAAACCAAGAATAGACTATTTTAAGGCAACATCCTACTGCAACAGTCTATGGCCATCTCCCGTCATCTTTGCATTGTGGAAACTTTTGCCATTGATGTTCATGAGTCATGGCTTGCAGTCTCTGTCCACAGTTTTATAGCAGTGGTCAGGCATTGCCAAAAAAAAAAAGGAGGAAAAGCAAGGAACATCCGGATATTGGAGGAGAAAAGATCGGTACAATATTATCTTCCAAGCAAACCAAAGTCCTTGTTTGATGACATATTTTCCATATTCATTCTACCACCAGCAAAACGAAATTTATAATGTCTGTATAGAAGATTTTTGGTCATGACAACTCAGACATTAACAATCAAATATAGTCTCTCTCTCTCTCTAAACATGTAAATTGGTATATTAGCAAAACTTAAAAAAAAGGAGAAGGTATTTGTCCATAAATGAAGTACTGGATGGCACTGGAGACAAAACTTGAACGGGGGGTGGGTGGGTTGTTTGTGTAAACTGTCAGAGTTAATCAAGGCAATGTGGGAGGGAAATGAAGCTTGCACAAAAGGAAGCGCAAAAGACAGGTCCATATCATTCAAATTCTGATAAACTGCATGGTCTTCGAAATTCTTGCCCACGTTCATGGATCCACTTATTGGATACTGCAAAAAAGAAAAAAAAACACCCAACACCCGAAGATGGTTATGCTCATCTAAAGTCAATCAATATTTATCAGCCAGCCTTTCATAAAAGATTTTAGGTGCTGCAATGATTATTTGCAGAAATCTATCCTGAACTTGATATGATAAATCTCCTCATCCAGAAATAAGAGTGAATCAATTCAGCATCCATATATAAAAACAGGTTGCTTACCAGTAACTGGTGATCTTCGAGTGGTCATCTGTGCTTCACACCAATGGGTTTAGTGCGCCTGCGCTGACCCGACCGGTGCTGTAGCAAGCTATGTTTCAAAGGATTTTCGCGCGGGTCCCACTGAGCATGCGCAGGAACCCCAGCGAGCATGCCCAGAGGGACGGGCGCGGACATCCCGCCAGTTCCTTCAAAGCACCGCCGCCAATCAACACCTATCAAAAAAATCAGGAGCTGACAGCAGAGGGGAAGGAGGGCGGGTGGTGTGAATGCACAGATGACCACTCGAAGATCACCAGTTACTGGTAAGCAACCTGTTTATCTTCTTCGTGGTCTCTGTGCTTCACACCAATGGGAGACTAGGGAGCCATATCCTATCTGGAGGTGGGTGCTGGCAGGATGTTCATCGCTGGACTGAAGACAAGACGTGACGGCCGATGCTGTCATTGGTATGTCGGACGTCGAGGGCGTAATGTTTGATGAATGTATTAGGCGTAGCCCATGTGGCAGCTTTGCAGATGTCATGTATTGGCACACCTTTGAGAAAGGCCGTAGACGTAGCAAGAGCTCTGGTGGAGTGAGCTCTGATAGGACCAGGCAACGGCTGTTTTGCCAGGAGGTAGCAAAGACGAACCAACTCCACTATCCACTGTAGCCCATGTGGCAGCTTTGCAGATGTCATGTATTGGCACACCTTTGAGAAAGGCCGTAGACGTAGCAAGAGCTCTGGTGGAGTGAGCTCTGATAGGACCAGGCAACGGCTGTTTTGCCAGGAGGTAGCAAAGACGAACCAACTCCACTATC